ATCTTTGCAAACCCGAAAGAATTGTTTACTGCCACAACAAGTCCATTCCAACTTTCCGACAGACTTGATAAAAGGACAAGAGCTCTAATTTCATCATCAAAAATAATACTCACAGATTCTAACTGATTCGTAACCGTATTAAATTCGTTGATATGTTCAATAACAATAGTATTTTCAGACATCTTTAGATTAAATAACTTTTTCATAAGATATACCTTATTCACCGCTGAAGGCTTTTCGTACATCTTTTTTAGGGCTTTGAACAAATCTGATGTAGTCTTTTCTTTGGCGATATTCGATGCAACTGACGGCGCTAGGCACAGTCGCACAGTCCCTAGGGCTTTGCGATCCAGAACATCCCATTTTGCTTGTTCCATATCCGCTGGCTTCTTCCCATCGATAGGTTGATAAAGATCCTTCTGATACAGAATATCCTCCATCTGCATTTTCCAAAACGCGTAGTTCGTGCCATTGAATTTTTTTATCTTAACTTTGTCTTCTGCCATTGTGTAAACCCTTGACCTCTTAACCTAAAACTTTCATTTCAGTTGTTGGGATTTAACAACAATTTAAATCCACTAACAAACACACACAATCGAAGAACAAATCAAGAATATAAAGCAATAAGAAACAAGAAAAAATAAGACACAAATTTTACGTGGTTCGGCAATTTGCCTGTGTCCACGAAGCTGCAAGGATTTCACTATTGAGAGAGTTGAATACAGAGAGCGGCTGTACAATCCACTATATTAACCCTAATCACCAAAACAATGGGTTTTATATGTCCTACGCATTGAGCTATATAACGGGTCCAAAAATTTTCCTCGGGGGCGTTGCCCCCGAACTCCCACGAGACTTGTCCATGAGCGCTACAACTTGGGCCTATCGGCCCAAGCTTTCGCTTTATGAACTAAGTTTCAAAAAATTTTCCATTAAAAAACCACACAACATTACTTCAGGTCAAGTTATCATCCGGGATTACATATACAAACTAGACTCCACAAAAAAACCAACACTGTCACACAATGTTCGAGAACTCGATCTCTCCATCAGATTGAAAGTGCCCTGTTTGCTGCCTGCTGACCTTTTTACATGCAATTCACTTGTGGTAGTAAAATTGGGCACTAAATTCGTCCTCAATGACATTCCAAGTTTAGTTAGTCTACAGAATTTTAAAACCCTACATATCTTAGTAGTGTTGAATTCAGGGATGATGAGTCAACTAAGAGGCTCTTTTCTAGCTGCCCCGTGCTTGAGGATTTGGCTTTATTTCAATGTGAAGGAAAAAGAATTAGTGTTCTCAAGATTTCATCTCCTGCACTCAAGACTTTGAATATATCATATCCTATGTCAGATAGTTGGGCTATTTACCATCATTCTGAATTTAGCAAGTATAAGATTGAACTCAATACCCCTGCTCTTCTATTGCTTAAATACTCGGGTCCTGTCTCAGAAGTCTTTCCCATGAAGAGCTTGTGTTCTCTTGTCAAAGTTGATATTGAATTTTATAGAGACAGAGTATGGGGAGACTATGAATTTAATCAAAGGTCGACAACTGAACTTGCTCAAGAAATATATAATGTTCATAGTCTTCATTTATCTGGTGGATCAATTGAGGTTAGCTGACTTGACTTTTTTCTGTTAGTTGAAATGTGATTCAGTTCCTATAAACCATTCATACCCTCAAACTGCTATGCTTGTAAGTTTGTTTATTTATTTTTTTAATTTATGTTGTACTTTTCAGACGTCAATTGACTATGATTCTTTTCTTGCGTATAGACCCTTCAGATGTATGATTGCGAACTACCAGTGTTTCATAATTTGACCTTTTTGGAGCTTGGTGTTTGCTATGCTGGATGGGAATTGCTGCCAAACTTACTTGATAGCTCACCACATCTGAGAACTCTTGTTTTTAAGGAGGTGGGTTATAACCAGTTCTCAATTATTTTAGAAACTTCTTTGGCATTTCTTTTTTAATTTTTTCTATTTATCTGCATAAGGACTTCTGCACGAGGATATAACAATTTGGGATGAAATTAACACTGACAATTGGGCTCCCCCTGAACGGGTGCCTTCTTGTTTAAAGATTCACCTCAAGATGATTGACACGGGGGAATTCCAAGGAGAAAAGCACGAGCTTAAAATGGTGAAGTACTTTTTACACAATGCAAAAGTCTTGAAGACACTGAATATTCGTCTCTTGATGACCGAGACCAAACAGGAGAAGTCTGAAGTTTACAAGAAGTTATTGAAAATACGGAGGAGTTCAACAAGTTGTAGAGTTGTTATTTCCTGATTAAGTTTGTCTGATTACCCAAGCAGTGGAAGGGATAATCTACTGTTGGTTAATTAGCTTATGGAACATACGCATGATGAAGATGATGTTTATAGCAAAGAACTTTTGAATATCAGTAAGTATATTTCTTGCTTAACTTTTGATATGGAGAAAAAAACTGAGTGATGCAATGCATTTGCTTGCTACATCGTTTTTGCTGGCTCTGATCTTCGTTCCTGGAGGTTTGGACATTTCTTCACCTTTCAATTTATTTGGAGGAGAGGAAAAGTTCAAACACCCGTAACTCTCTACTACTGCCCCTGAATGTCTACACCTTTGATAACGTTAATCATGGCTGTTCTAAAGGCAAACGGACCATGTCCATAAAATCGGTCTACAACACTCACCAGTTTACATATTATCTCGAAAAGTTCCCGTTGTAGCAGCCCTAAAGCATGAAAGAAAAAACGTTGTTGTACATTCATTTCCAAGGTAATTGTGGATGTGTGTGCTTGAAATGATCTCCTACATTAGATCTTATTTGGTGTGATAATGATTCAATATATCTCTTCATCCTTGATTTGGCCCTACAGATATAACGCCCTTTTCTTTGAAAAATCCGGATTCTGATGAGAATGATTGGTCCATTCATTGCTCTCACGAAGTTTCTGGAAACATTTCTACGTTGCTGTGAATGATCAATATCATCTACGCTACACTTGTGTGGGTTAATGGTCCATGTGTTTCTTTAGGGCAACTGTAGTTTTTCCTCTAAGGAATCCTGACATTCCTTTTTTTGGTTGCACAAGAATGGTGACTCGGTAAAGAGACTATTTGGTGACTCTACGATCTTCTTTAAGAATTTGGTGTACAGAATTGTGGTGGCCTAATGGCCAACCACCTGGCCGTTAGACTAAAGTCCCAGATTTGAACCACCCCCACCCCCACCCATATACAAACTGTTCAAAAAAAAAAAAAAAAGGTTTTTTAATAATGTATAACTGCTGTGATGATGGTGAATATGGAAAAGTTTTTTTTTTTTTTTTTTTTTATAGCAGTGATGGGATGGGTTGGGGTGGGACCTACCATTTCATAAATGGAGGGTTTTGCCATGTGGATAGGACTCCAAAAACAAAAAAAGTTTTTTTTTTACTTTGTACAAATTTTTTACGGAACAAGTGATAAATATTCTCTTCCGTTGGTTTATGAAGTGAGTTTTATTTAATTTTAAATTCACAATTAATTTAATATTTATAATAAATTAAAATTTCAAATTAAGTATTTATAGCATTAAATCATATGTGAATCCCAATTCATTCATTGAATTCGAATTTGGTTAAAAGCCGACTTGTGATAACCTCTGGTCACGATTCGACGTTTACTCTTCTGCTTCCAGAATCTGTCTTTTCGACATCTGAGCTGTCTTATTCCTACTCTATCACCTTGTTAAATCACGTACATACTATCAGGCGAGGCCTTTAATGATTCTTCTACATCGGTTAAATCAATCAATTCTCTTCACCTGGAGGCCTATATATACTAGTCCCATGAATACCCTCTTCCTCCAACTGTGCGAATAAAAGAGGAACTGTCTGTCTCGGTCTTGCTGGCCACCATTACAGCTCCTTGTCATAAACATCGAAGAAACTCACATACACACTTGGCGGCTTTTCCCCCTTGGTGGTTCATTATACATTATCTGAGAATGTACGTTGTAGTGGACACACCTGTAGGCCCCAAACTGTAGTACCGATCACTGGTTATCGTCTCTCTCACTATAGATGTGATGTGTTGTTCTTGTCGATGCATATGCATGAATACATAGATTTGTGGCTTTTTTTTTTTTGAAGCTTTTCTGACTCCAAATATGTTCTATTATGTGATTTAAGGCTGTTCCATTACCAAATACTGTTATTTTCTGCCTATATTTTTTGTTTGGTCATTTGTTGTTAATTTGTTTGTATGATGTGGTGTTGTTTCGATTTGTATGTGTGGATATTGATGAATCAATAATGTTGCTTGAACCAAACTATTTTGGAGGTTTTCATTCTTGTGATTTTTATTTGGGTCAATATATTGATTTGGAAGTCTTATTTTGTGTTGTGATTGCTGGTGAATGAGAGATCACATGAATTTGCCTAATTTGATCTAAAATTCTCCTAGTTACCCGAATTTCTCAAGTTGCTTCTTTTCGAGAAGTAATGGGGTCTATATCAAAGCGCCAGAAGCTTTTTAAGGCAGTGAACCTCAAGGAAACTGAAGATAGGATCAGCAATTTGCCAAACAGTCTTATTGGCCATATTCTATCTTTTCTTCCAACAAAATGCGCTGTTCGAACGAGCATTTTGTCCACCAAATGGAAGCAAATGTGGACATTAATCAGCAATCTGGACTTTGATTCCTCCCAAATTTCACATCCTCCCCAGAGTAATGCTGATCAGTGCGAAAAGAGTTTCGTGAAGTTTGTTTATAGGGTACTGCTTTTACTCAAAGTGTCAAGTGTGAATAAATTCCGTCTGAGCTATTCTGGAACTTCTGTAAATGTTAATGACTGGGTTTCTGCTGCACTATCACGTAATGGTCGCGAAATCGATCTCTCCCTCAATGTGGGCTGGTCTGATTTGCTGCCTTCCGACCTTTTTACTTGCAACACTCTCGTGATACTAAAATTGCGCTTTGTTGCTCTCAGTGTTCCAAATTTAGTTTGTCTACAAAGTCTTAAAACCCTCCATCTTGAATCAGCTGAATTTAGGGATGATGAGTCAAGAAAGAGGCTCTTTTGTAGCTGTCCCATGCTTGAGGATTTGGTTTTAATATATTGTGCGTGGGAAAACTTTCTCAGCATTTCAGCTCCTGCATTGAAGAGTTTAATTATAGATTGTGTGACTTGGTACGACTGTACTGAAGTGCCTGGGTACAGGTTTGAGCTTAATGCCCCAAGTCTCCTATACCTCAAATATGTAGAGTATGTAGCAGAAGGCTATGCCATGAAGAACTTACACTCTCTGGGGAGAGCGCATATTGATTTGGGGTCAAGCATGGATAGATTGGAAGTTCGCAGATCAGTTTATGGCATATCAGCAGCCAAACTTTTTCAGGGTATTTCTAATGTTCATTCTCTTCAGTTAACCGGTGATTCTATTGAGGTTAGCTTGCTTGACTTTTTTTCCTGTTCAATTGAAAATGTTACTAGATGATTGTATAAACCATCTATAGCCTCAACCAGCAATGCCTTTATATTTGCTGATTTGATCTCTGATGTTGCGCGAAGGCCCTTTATTTGTGTCGGTGCAAACTACCCGTGCTGCATAATTTGACCTCTTTGGAGCTGGGCGTTAGTATGGTTGGATGGCAATTGCTTCCAGACTTACTTGAAAGCTCACCACAGCTGAGAACTCTTGTTTTTGAGGAGGTGAGTGAAGCAAATCTCCATTGCTTAAGAAGCTTTTGGCCTTTTTTCCTTTCTGGATTTTTTATTTGTTTGTTGTCATAGGGACTTTTGAGAACTGAGTTCTCGATGGAGTACACCTTAAAGTGGGATCCTCCTCAGCGTGTGCCCGCTTGTTTATTGTTTCGCCTCAACATAATTGATCTGGGGTCATTCGAAGGGAGACAGGATGAGCTGAAGATTGTGGAGTACTTTCTGAAGAATGCAAAAGTTTTGAAGACGTTGCGTATAAGTATGCAATTATTTGGAAACAAAGAAGATCAGTTGGAGGTTAGCAAGTTGTTATTGAAAATACCAAGGGGTTCAAGCAGTTGTGAAGTTGTTTTTGTTGATTAGGTTTTGTTAGATTGCCCAAGCCGTCGGTCTGTTTTTGTTGGCAATTAGTTTGTCAACATACACCTATGATCAAGATAACGATTATAGCGAAGAACTTCTAATTGTCAGAACTTATGAGTACATTTCTTGCTTAACTTTTGATATGGATAGTGGACTAATATATGCAATGCATTGAACTGGCTACATTGTCTTCTCTGATGGTGATCAAACTTCTTGAAGGGTTTCGATTCTCCACCTTTGAATTAATTTGAAAAAGAGAATAGGATCAACCAACCACAGCTTTGAAACCTTAATCACAACTGTCTTAAAAGGTGAAAGCATCATGTATTGTCCATCATCTCAATCCTGAACACGCACAAAGCATATCAACCAGATCTCTAAAGCTTGAATTTGAGCACAGCCCAATAGCCATGATGAGTGAGTTTTGCTTGGACCATAAGGATAGTTTGTCCACCGATGGTTTCTTTTATAGATGTATTATGAGGGGATGAAATATTAGATTGTACTATTTTTTATTTAATTGGACTTAATATTTTGTTTTGTAAACAAATTTAACACCGTATTAATTTTAAAAACATATATTAATCGTATATTTTTTATACTATAGATTTGTATTATTGAGGTATTTTAATACCACTAAAACATGTAGTATTAAAATCTAATTCAAATGTATTATTCTACACTTCGTCTATTACTAGCAATGCACGATGTGAGTTGCACATAAATAAATTTAAATTATATTATTTTTATAAAAAATATGAATTATATATGTAATTAATTTAAATAATAAATTAGGTGTCAAATAATTAAATCATATTTTAATCAATAATTTATTTTGTAATTCCTAATTTATCATTTATTTAGATATTTATCTGACACTTTTAGGCATATGCACATCTAATTATATTATAGAATTATTAAGTTTAATTTTGTTAGTTAGATTGATTAGATTATTTATAATATTATTATATTATTACATGAAAAAAAAATATAATAAATATTTAACTATAAAATTCAATTTGATAATTATATGTGTATAATAATTTAACATATATAAGACTTTACTTTTTTATATAGATATAGATAATTATATGTAACTGTACTATTAATAAATGAGTTCAAAAGAATTTAGAAGTTTTTATAAAAAAGTTCAAACAAGTTAAAAGTCAAATAAACATAAATTAGATAAAAGTATATAAGTGGGTATAATTGATTTTATTACAATAATTATGGATAAAATAATAAATCAAAATTTTTTTACACATGCTAACATTTATAAGTACTAGTAATGCATACGTGACGTGAAAAAATTTAGATCATAAAATTTAGATTATAGCTTTTAGAAATACAAAGTGTATGAAGTTGACGAAGCAAAAAATTGCTGATGTATGCATTTAATAGTTTCTTGAATCCAATAAGAATTTCTGGCATTACAACATAAGAACAATAAAACTCCTAAATATAATTTACTAAATCTAAAACTATTCTACCTCCACATGAATTCAAGAAGTTTGGTAACAAAACTAATTCTACTCATAATATAATAACTCCTAAAACACTATAAGCCTACTAATAATAAACAATTAAATATTATGAGATTAGTTTAACAGATTAAATACTTCATTCTATGAAAAATACCTTTTTTTAAGCGTTCATTATCACTTTTATTGGAACACCAATTCAATTGAATACAAATTAATTTTAGTTCCAATTACAAAAACTATTGTAAGGTAAATGCAATAGCCAAACCCAAATAGATGAAAAATAAAGTAAAGAAAATATCATACCAGCAATAGGCATGTCCTGACAGAGAAAAAAAAAACTCACGGGTTGACAACACCAAGTATCGTTGACCCACCATTCTTCACAGCCACAATATACTTAACGACGGGAGGATAGAGATGCAATGCCACTAATTTTAAAAGATTTTGAAGAAAAAATTTAATGCAGAGATATAAAACCAAATATGTTAATGGAGTTATTAGAGAGATATAGGTCTATCGTCCTATTTCTACCTATATATATTTCTAAGTTCTTCATGGTCAAAATGGATCAGAGAGAGTTTTCAAATTTTTGAGATCTAAGTTTTTTCATTTTTCAAATCTAAGTTCTTAACAGTCGAAAGGGATGCTATACTGGCCATCAGCCACACACACAAAGACAAAGAATCTCAAACAATGGGGGGGGTGAAAGGAGGGGTTTGTTTTTGGGTTTGTGGACTCGCAGTGTTTGGTGGATTTCATTGGAAGGTGGGTTGTGACAGTGGAGATTGATGGTTTGGTGGGTTTGTGTTGTAGATTTGGGGGGCAAATTGGGTGGGTTTGTGTGGTGGATTTCACTGGTGGTGGAGGCGGCAATTGGTGGTACATGGTGATAGCGTTAATGGTGTTAATTGTGTATAAATTAGAATTAAATTTGGGGATCAAATTTAAATTATTGAATAAAATTAACCATAATTGAAAGAATTTTGGAGATAAATTACCTTAATTAGTTGATTGATTTGATTTTATTAAAATTTTTAAGACAAATTTGATTAAGAGATTGTTAATCTCAATGTTATAAGGGTAAATTTTTTTTTTTAATGAAATAGTTAACGTCTATCATACAAAAAAGGTGCGGTTGTCACAAGTGTTCAAATGTCAGGAGATTTCAGTGTTATTTTTGAAATGTAAAGAGTGTTCATATAATAAAATCAAATGTTAGGGGGTGCAACTATAATTTACCCTATTTCATATATATTTTATGTCTATTTCTACCACATCACCTATTTTATCACAAATATAATTATTTGAGTTTATTAATACTGTGGCTCAATATAATTTGTATATAAGATATTATTCTTATAGGATAGTCTGTACATGATATTTGTTTAGGTCATGTATTTTGAGAAAATTTTATCGGTTTTTAAAAGTTATAATGGGTAAGAATTAATTTTAAATTATGTAATTAAAAAAATAAAAGAAAAGAAAAATTACTATTTGATATAGTAGTATTAATTTTTTAATTATTCGAATTTTATGTTGTACCATGTCTTCTGACATTGGTTTTAACTAGTCCTTCGATAATACAAATCATATTTAAATCTGAAATTTAATACAAAGTTGATATTTGAAGAAATTAAATGTCAATCGATTGTTATTCCTTAATTAAATTTAAAGGAGAGACTGAGAAATAAAAATTTCAGTAAAATCAATTTTTCTTAAATGTGAGGCCCATAAAACTATTTTTGTTTAGGAATATTAGTTGAACGAGTTCAAGTCGAGCCTGAAAAGTTTGTTTTTTAATTAAGTCTAAAAAATTATTTAAGTTTGACTCGTTTAAGAAACAAGTTGAGCCTGAACGAGTCCAAAATAAGTCAAGTTCAAATATTTACAAATAAACAAGTCTAAATCTTTCGAGTTTGAACCGAAGTTATTTGGCTTATTCTTTAAATGTACCTACAAAATTTATTCAAGTTTGAAGTTGTTTAAAAAGTGAAGCGAGCGTCTCGATTAACAACTCTATTTTTTCCTGAGTTCCCTGTTTCTCAGACTGTTGGAATAACACATGAACTTGCTGTCTCCCCCTCTCTCTCTGGCTCGCACCATGGATGTTCTCTGTTCCAGGGCTCTCTGGGATCAATATTGAACTATCGCAAATACCCATAAGGGCACGTGTCCTATTGGATCATTTCATAATCTCCAATTCTCCGAGGATTTTTTCACACCATGGAAGTGTCAATCCCTAGTCTATGATCACTGGTTACTCCTTTTACCTCTCTCTCTCTCTCTCCCTAGTATAGAAATGCATATGAATATCTATATATATATGCATGTATACATAGATTGGGGGCATTTGAAGCTTTTCTGAGTTTGAATATGTTCAATTGTGTAATTTAAGACTGTTAAATCACCAAAAGTTGTTCTTTTCTGCATACTTTTCTCTTGTATACGTGAATTGTTTGTGATGAACCGATAATGTTGATTGAACTAAACCCTTTTGGGGGTTTTCATTCTTTTGAGTTTTATGTGGGTTAATAAGGGATTAATTTGGAAATTATGTTGTGTTTTTTCTTTATTAGATTACTGGTGAACGAGAGACCACGGGAATAATTACAGTGGTATAGAGAGTTGCAACAGTCCAGCTGAATTCAACTATATATAGCATAGCAATTTCTAAAGCTTTCTTATGAGTTTCTCTGATTTGACCGCAAGTTCTCTTTAGTTACTCATATTTCTCGATTTGGTTCGTTTAGAGAAGTAATGGGGTCAATATTGAAAAGCCAGAAGCTGTTTAAGGAATTGAAACTGGAGGAAACTGTTGATAGGATAAGCAATTTACCAAACAGCCTTATTGGGCATATTCTCTCATTTCTTCCTACAAAATACGCTGTTGGAACAAGAATTTTGTCCACCAAATGGAAGCAGTTGTGGACATATACCAGCAATCTAGATTTTGATGATCAGCTATTTTTACATCCTCCTGATAATTATTGTGATCAGTGCCATACGAGTTTCATGAAATTTGTGTATCGGGTGATGCTTTTACTGAAGGTGTCAAATTTGAACAAATTCAGTATCGAATGTTCTGAATTTTCTGATGTTTCAGATCTTAATGCCTGGATTTCTGCAGCACTGTCACATGATGTTCGAGAACTTGATCTCTACGTTCCTTTGAAAGGATCTGGTGGGCTGCCTGTTGGCATTTTAACTTGTAACACACTTGTGGTACTAAAATTGGGAAGAAATTTGTTCTCTACATTCCACGTTTGGTTTGTCTGCAGAATCTCAAAACCCTCCATCTTTATTCAGTTGAATTTAGCAATGACGAGTCAATTAAGAGGCTCTTTTCTGGTTGCCCCTTGCTTGAGGACCTGGTTTTACTCGAATGTGAATTAAAAAACATTAATGTTCTCAACATTTCAGCTTCTGCCCTGAAGAGTTTGATTATATCCTATCCTGTAATGAACAGCATATCTAAATTTTTGAAGTACAAGATTAAGATGGAGCTCAATACCCCTAGTCTTCAATACCTTGAATACATTGATTATGTAGCAGAAGGCTACGCCACAAGAGCTTACATTTTCTTGTCAAAGCTCATATTGATATTAAGCTTAGATTGAGTGACTTGTTATTTTATCCAACATCGACAATTGAGCTTGCTCAAGGGATCTCTAACGTTCATAGTCTTCATTTATCTGGTCATCCTGCAAAGGTTAGTTTGCTTTACTTTGTTCTGTTCAGTGACACTGCAGTTTCATGTATGTATAAATACTCATACTCTCAATGTGCAATGCCTTTTTAAAGTTTTCTGATTTAAGCTATGTTGTATTCTTTGACTTCTAATGACTATAATTATTTTCTGGCATGAAGGCCCTTGACTGGAGTAGCTACAAACTACCGGTGTTTCATAATTTGACTTGTTTGGAGCTCGGTGCTGGTTGTCCTGGATGGCTGTTGCTGCCAAAGTTACTGGAAAGCTCACCACAACTGAGAACTCTAGTTTTTAAGGAGGTGGGTGAAGCAGTTCTCAATTATTAAAGAAGCTTTTTGGCATTTTCTCTTTATAATTTTTTTACATGTCTTTCTTAGGGGCTTTGGCTTGCTGACGATGAACATTACTGGGATCATTGTGGGCCTGTGCCTACTTGTTTGTTGTTTAACCTCAAGGTAATTGACATAGGAGCATTCAAAGGGAAAAAGGGTGAGCTAAAGATTGTCAAGTACTTTCTGAAGAATGCAGAAGTTTTGGAGACACTAAATGTCAGTCCCCTAATGCCTGAGGCAGAAGAGTTGAAGATTACCAAGTTGTTATTGAAAATACCAAGGGGCTCAAGCAGTTGCAAAGTTGTTTCTTGATTAAGTATTTTTAGATTTCCAAATCCGTCTAATCTATTCTGTTGGTTACTTCTTTTATGAACATACCACATAGGTATTATCAAGATGACTTTCATGGCAAACTACTTTTGATTATCAGTTAGTATACTTCTTGCTGGACTTTTGATATGTAGGAGAAGAGACTGATTAATGCAATGCATGATTTTCCTGTTCTCTGGCATTGATCAAACTTCCTGGAGGTTTGGATTCTTCACCTTTCAATAATTTGTAGGGTAAATTACACTTAGTAAGGTTTTTCACTTAATCAGATAGATCCCCTCACATTTGACATATTATGTCTAATCCTCTTGAAATTTGTACTCCTGTAACACGTAACTCCTATCGTTGGTCTCTTTTAAGGTAATTGTTAAAATTCGTTAGTCTCTGTTAAAAAATCATATTTTTTAGAATTTAAGAAAATAACTGATGATTTTAATAGTACGTTTTTGGTTATTTGCAGCTTTGTTAGAATGTACCAATTAGGGCATTGTGAAAACAAATTGGTTGTTTCTTTGATTATTGGTGTTAATCCAAATATATGTTGTAGCAGGACATGAGTTTTGGTTTATCAATTTTTTTTTTTTTTGTGAAATATATGCTATGTTTCATTCTTTTTTTTTTTTTTTTTTGGTTTCCTTACACCATTTAGTAAATTGATAGCAAATAAAAATAGAAAGCACTCATTGTTACAAAATTTTTAATTGGTGGCAAATAAATATAAGTTTTGTTTCATGAATTTTTAATGACTACCTTAACGGAAACTAGCAATAGTGATTACGTGTTACACGTGAAAAAATTTCAGAAGATCTAAGTGTAATATGTCAAAATGTATCAACGGGCCTTTAGTTAAATGGTACTCCTTATTTTGTAAAAGTTTTGTCTTCTTGAGATTAAAGAGTTCAAGTCCTCTTCTCCTCCCTCCCCCTCTCCGTCCCCTCCCCAAAAAATTAAAAAAAAAAAAATAATATGTCAAAATGTGATGGAATCTAAGTGATGACAAACCTCATGAGGTCTTGGTATAATTTACCATAATTTGTAAGAAGAAAATAAAAATCAAACACCCCTAAATCCTTGTTGCTCCTTGATAATACCCAAATCAAGGTACTTAATTATAGCATTTTGAACACCAAAAAGAAAAGAAAGAAAAAAATAATTTCTACGAACATTAAGTTTTTTTATTATTATTTTATGTATTAATTTAGCTCTTTAATTAAGTAATTTAACTGAAAGTTCTTTTCCTGTCATTGAATTAAATTTACATACCACGCTCAATTGTACTGTTGAAGGTTCTAAATGGGCATAAAAATTAATTGAGAGGTTTAATTAACACAGATGACATAGTTTAGATGACATATGTGTAATTTATCAAGCATTTTATTTTAGAGTTAATCTTATTTTGCACCCCGAAAGATCGTTCGAATCTCAATATACACCGTCAAAGATTAAAAATCTTAATTTACACCCTCAAAGATAGAAAATTGTATCAATGTACACCCCCAAAGATCAAAAATCTCAATTTGCACCCTTAAAGATAGAAATTTGTATCAATGTACACCCCCAAAGATCAAAAATCTCAATTTGTACCCTCAAAGATAGAAATCTGTATTAATGTGCACCTAAAACTAAATTGATAAATTATACCTAGATCCCCTCATGTTTGTCACTTAATCATTTGAACCCCTTCACATTTAGAATACTACCCCTACATCTCATGACGTTTGTACATGTGTAAACATAACCACTTTTTGTTGATATCTATTAATATAATCGTTAAAAAATATGATTTTATCCTAATAAAAAATTATAATTTCATATTACCCTTTATTTTGTGAATTCGATATACTCTAAAATTCAAAATCAAGCTTACCATTTGAATGTCTAATAGAATGTAGATATTTATAAAAAGGAAAATATGAAAAATATTATATAAATATCTACATTTTATTAGACATTCAAATGGTAAGTTTGATTTTGAACTTTAGAGTATATTGGACCCATAAAATAAGGGTAATATGAAATTATAATTTTTTCTTAGGATAAAATTATATTTTTTAACGGTTATATTAACAGATATCAATGAAAATGGGTTACATGTTGTACGTGCATAAATGTCATGAGATGTAGGAGTAATATTCTAAATGTAAAGAGTCCAAATGATTAAGTGACAAACATGAGAGGATTTAGGTATAATTTATCAATTTAGTTTTAGGTGCATAATGATACAAATTTTTATATTTGAGAGTGCAAATTGAGATTTTTTATCTTTGGGGTACACATTGTTATAAATTTCTATCTTTGAGGATGCAAATTGAGATTTTTTATCTTGGGGGTGCACATTGATACAAATTTCTATCTTTGAGGGTGCAAATTGAGATTTTTGATCTTTGGGGGTGCACATTGATATAAATTTCTATCTTTGAGGGTGTAAATTAAAATTTTTGCTTTTTGAGGATACAAATTAAGATTCGAACTATCTTTCGGGGTGTAAAATGAGATTAACCCTTTATTTTATTGGTAAAATCAATTTTCTCCGAAAGCTAGGCCTCTAAAATACGAGTCCTATGAATTCGTACTTCCCCAGAATGTTCGAATAACATAAGAACTCTTCTGTTTCTCTCTCCTCTGTCTACCCATGGCTGTTCTTTGTTCAACACCTCTTTCTTGTTGTGATCAACATTAAAGAAACTCACCTACCCATTTGGCCACATAAAATATATTTGGATTAAATGTATTAAATAAATCAAATATCTAAGAATTCAGATATTAGGAAGGGAATGTTTGGAACGTTTGTTTTAATTTTAATTTTATTTATAAAATATTTCTATTAGTCCTACACGTGAGGTTTTCTGTGTTTTTTTTCATGAGTTATGTTTGTCTAACTCAATTAGGAGTGTGGTTTCCTTAAAATTAAGGAGTGAAAGTCTACCACTATCCCTAGCCTTTCATCACTGGTTAGTCCTCTATCTCTCTCTCCCTCTCTCTCTCAACTATGCATATGTGTGTGTATATTATGATGATATTGTCGATGCATAAGTACGAATACGTAGATTTATGGCGCTTGAAGCTTGACTTTGTTCTATTTCATGATTTAGGATTTTTTTTGGGGGGGTTTCATTCGTATGAGTTTTATTTGGATCAATTACTTTTTAAATTGGAAAGCTTATTTTGTGTTTTTGTTTATTAAGATTACTGGTGAATGAGAGATCATATGAATAGTGTTATGGTGGCGCAGGGTTGTGCTCCAGTCCAGTACATAGCTTCTCTAGCTGGCTAGTTTGGAGTAGTAATTGGTTGGGTCAATGTCAAAACAGCCAAAACTTTTTGAGGAAATGAAGCTGGGGGAAACTGAAGATAGGTTCAGCAATTTACCAAACTGTCTCATTGGCCATATTCTATCCTTTCTTCCTACAAAATACGCTGTTCGAACAAGCGTTTTGTCAACCAAATGGAAGAAGATGTGGACTTTAATCAGCAATCTAGACTTTGATGATCAGCAGCTAACTTTACACCCTCCAACGAATAATAGTGATCAGTGCAAAGCGAGTTTCATGAAGTTTGTTTATCGGGTGTTGCTTTTGCTGGAAACGTCAAATGTGAATAAATTCCGTATCAGAAGTTGTGCAAATTTTGATGTTTCATACGATGTCAATTCTCGGGTTTCTGCATCGCTATCACGAAGTGTTCGAGAAATCGATCTCTATCTCTACATCCCTTTGAAAGGATTCGGTTTGCTGCCTGCGACCTTTTTGTTTGTAACACACTGGTGGTACTAAAATTGAACACTATATGTGTTATGAATATTCCAAGTTTGGTTTGTCTATAGAGTCTGAAAACACTCGATCTTACATCAATTAAATTTAATGATGAAGATTCCAGTAAGAGGCTCTTTTCCGGCTGCCCTAAGCTTGAGGATTTGGCTTTACGAGGATGTCAATGGCAAAATATGAGTGTTCTTGACATATCAGCTCCTGCACTGAACAGATTGACTATTATAGATTGCGAGACTAATACCACCTCTTATACAGAATTTTATGAGTATAGGATTGAGCTTAATACTCCAAGTCTCTTGTACTTGAACTATGTGGATTATGTAGTAGGAGGCTATGCCATGGGGAAGTTAAACTCTCTTGCCCAAGCAAATATTGGCTTTGCGACAAGCATTGACTCATTTGAAGAATACTATGAGATTTATTACAAATCGACAACTGAACTTGCTCAAGGATAGCAAATGTTCATACTCTTCATTTATCTAATGAATCTATTCAGGTTAGCTTGCTTCACATTTTTCTTTTCAAATGGAAGTGTTGTCTCATGTGTTGTATAAACCGTCTACAGTTCTATATCCTCATCATATTTGATCTTTTTTTTTTAGGGAGAGCTATATCTATATTTCCCAATATTTGAAATATTATACACAAACTCCCTGAAGTTTGTACGCACATAATATTTAGATCTCGTATATCCATTAATAAATTATACCCAGACACTTTGAAATTTGTAAACGTGTAATATTTAGATCTTTCAAATTTAAAACATTACACTTAAACTCTTTATTAGTTACAGAACTAACGAAATGTATTAAACAACAAAATTAACTCAATTAAAGATAGAAGATATTTTGTCAATTACAGTTTGACCATCTGTTTATTTTTTAGTTTTATTCCAAATAGATAGTATAATCGTATATTATGATTTTTTAAAGAAAAATTAGATTTTTATTTTTGATTTTTTTTTCAATAAATGATATAATAGAACATGAATTTTTGTTAGAAATTTAAAATATTTGATATTTTATCTTTGATTGAAGTATTTTTTGTTCAATTATAATATTTTAAACTTGAGTAGTCGAAATATTACACACTTAAAAATTTTAAGGGGTGTGAGTGTAATTTACTGACCAATAAACAAACGAACCTTGACGGTAAGGGTCTAAATGTTACATGCGTGTAAATCTCAAGGAGTTTGTGTATAATATTTTAAATATCAAAGAGTCTAAATGATTAATTGATAAACTTTATGAAATCTCGATATAATTCTCCTTTTTTTTAACCATTTTGGACTAAATTTGACTACAAGTATTTTGTTGTACGAAGGTCCTTGATTTCTGCAAACTGTCTGTTTTTCATAATTTGACTACTTTGGAGCTCGATGTTAACTGTCGTGGATGGCCATTGCTGCCAGACTTACTTGAAAGAACGCCACAACTGAGAGCTCTTGTTTTTAGAGAGGTGGGTTAAGCAGTTCTCAATGGTTTAAGAACATTTCTGGCCTTCTGTTCTAAAAGCTTTTCATTTATCTTCTCAGGGACTATTACATTGTGATCATTCACAAGAATTCGTCGACGATTGGGTTCCTCCTAATTGTGTTCCTTCTTGTTTGGTTTTCCACCTGAAGATAGTTGACATAAGGGAATTTGAAGGGCACGAGTATGAGCAGAAGAAAGTGAAGTACTTTTTATGTAATGCGAAAGTTTTGAAGACACTGTGTATACGTCTCTTGATGGCCAAGGAGGAAAGGTTGGAGGTTAGAAGAAAGTTATTGAAAATGTCAAGGGGTTCAAGGAGTTGTAAAGTTGTCCTTTCTTGATTCAGCATTTCAACCCAAAGAGGAAGAGTTGAAGATTACCAAGTTGTTATTGAAATGTTAATTTCTATTGTGCTCAAGACAAATGCATCATGTTCAACACTTTGCATACCCTTTAAAGGGTCCTTCGTCATGCGTCAGAATGATAGTTTAAATTAGCTCGGATTTTTGAGGCCAGGTCCAGGTTCGTGAATGTAATCGACACAAACGTGGATATATACCCGGGTTAAAAAAGAAAAAGATTCAGAAGCTCCCATTCTAGCACTCCTAGAGTCAAGATTTAACGAATTTGTGTGGACCATAAGGTTAATTTGTGGACAAATTGTACAGATGCAACTTGTTTTGGGGATTTTTAGAAGATTCGATGAAGGAACAAATCAACATAACTCAATTACGGTGCTGGTGCACAATGGTTATAAGGTAGGATAAGCCAATGAAACTCTTATTGCAACTTCTTCTTCTGATTCTCTCAACCAGGAACTTCGTTGGATCAAGTCTGAATTTTCAGAAATTTACCCCGAATAACTTGAAATGACACTTGTGTATCATGCTAATCACCGCAAAACGATATCACCATTTAGTCCCTCATTGCTTGTGCTTAAAGGCACCACGTTATTCATAAAATTTTAACGTATAACAATAATCAATTTTAACTATAATTTAGATTGAGTTTTGGTTTTTCATAAAATAATAATTTATTTTTTATATGAATAATAGCTCGAAAGTTTTATTTATGAATTTTATATTATATTTTTTTTTTGCATGGAAGCGGTGATTTCATTTGTTTTTTTTTTGGGAGGGGGGGGGGGGGGAGGGGAGATGGGGACGCACAGGAGTGCTTTGTTTTATTGGTTATTAGACTTTAGATTTTTTTTTATTTTGAGAACTATTGATTTGTATATAATAGTAATTTTTTTTGTACGAATAATAGATTGAATGTTTTATTTGTATGTTTGTACTTTTTGTTTGTGTCCAAGTGTTGATGGAGATTAGCTTAGGTCTAAATATTTTTATTTTTTTTGTGCAATTGATATCACTTATTTTTTTTTATTGGTGATTAGTTTGGGTTTATATATATATATTGTCAAATTTTACTAACAAAAATTTAAATAACTTCAAAAAGAATGTTTACAACCTGGAAATTTTTTTAAATATTTTCTCCTGCTATAAAATCATATAAATATTTGGGTACTAGTTGTGGTTTTGTGATGATAATGGTTATGTGGTTAATGGGATCAATTGTTAAATATACAAACCTCAAGTAAAGAAACGCTAAAAATAGTAATACACATTTAACACATAACATTTAATAATAATAAAATATGAAAATTAGGGCTGAGTCCTCCTTAAGAAATTTTTAATGAGTTTAATCTTTCAAGAAAACTCATTTGGTGATAAGTCATATTTTAATTTATTAATAAATAATTAAGTCCACTATTTTATTAAAACTCTAAAATACCCTCCTTTAAAATGAGAGTTAAATTAATTTTCTAATTTAAATTTTGTCCTGGATTGCGAAAATCCATTGTCCTGGATTGCAACACCATCCACCAGATCTTGAGGATCATCTACAGAGATGCTGGAGCAGGAGTGCGTTAGACGAACAGCCTTAACCTTCAGCCTTTCGAGGCACCTATTCTTTATTTTTCTGTCTACTGTTTAGTCATTGAGTTTTTTGATGTACTGTCCTTATGGATGAGTAACAGTAATGATATATACACTTAAAAATTATATTTAGAAAATAAATTTGATAATCACAATTGACGAACTCAAATCTAATTGGGTCAGGTCTAGTAAATCAAGCAAGCCCAGATCCACTAGGAAGGTAGTCCAAGTCCAGTTCATCAATTCGGCCCAATCCAAGATCCAATGAGCCCGGAAAGATAAGAGCACGTGAGAGAGAGATTATCGAGATATACACTCACGAAAATCAATCATATTTTAATTGTACTTACCATTTGTAATTATCCTCCCCGAATTAGTTGTACCCTCACACTCACGTCACCCACCTCTCCATGCCTATAAATTGTGAGTTCTCTCCACATGAGAGGTCACATATCGCATCTCACTACACATTGAGCATTGCCTCGACTCCTCCTCTACACACATTTTCTCTCTCTTAGCTATTGTATCTCTCCTGAAGACATTGTTTGATCAATAAAGATCCCCCCGCCATGGTTGCATTTTTTTATAGTGAAATAGGTCACTCGAATCGAACCACTATATATTTGTGTGTTGATTAAATATTTATATTACTGTCATTGGATGTTTTATTAATTGTCTCATTAATTACACTTTGTCACACACTCGACCATTGATCTTGTATGAGACTATTTTGTGCATCATTAGTTTGACACCGTCTATAAAAAACGCCCAAGTTTTTTGCTATCTTGCTACTTCATGGCAATCACGATCAAGTTGATGAGTCAACAACCCGACCCCTCGAAGAGAAGGCTCCTCTCGCACCCACCACCACTGTCGCCATCGTACCACTGCCACCCCCATTGCTCCACTACCACCATCCCCCTACCACCACTGCCACTACCTTATTACTTCTGTCACTGTCCCACCATCACCCTTATCACCATCATCTCTATCACCCCACCACCACCGACACCATTGTCACCCAAGACTATTATTATCACAATCGGTCGTCGTCACCCATCACCGTCTTTCACCATTATTATCACTACTCGCGCCTCACTATAATCGGTACTTAAATTCTTCTTTCTCTCTATCTTTGTAATTTGATATTCAGTGTAAATACAAATATGTTTATTATTGACCATTTTTTTTATTATTCTATCCTTTCAAGCACGAAAAATAACTAATAAATAAATATAAGAGAGAAATAATTTTAATATTAATCAAACTCTTAAGTGCACAAACAAGTCCTTAGGGAATCATCTTTGTACAATTGGAGCGGTTAGCCAAGCCCCCACCTTGGCTAAGGCATGGGGTGTCATTGGGCTGAGTCACCCGCAGGTCATAGCCGTGCCAACGACTAGGGGGCTAACGGATGGTTGATTATGTTGTACTGGTCTTGTTGCTGTTTTAAGGTGGTTTGAGACTTTTCTATGTGCAGTTATCAAACGCTGGGCTTAGGCCATGGCGGTCTATGGATGCCTTTTGATTTTGTCTTTACCAGCACTTTGGACTTGATCAGTTTCTACTGTGGATGGCCCTTTGTTGGTTTGGATCGAGGCAAAGACTGGAAATAGGGAGAAGAGACAAACTTATGGGTTATCAGGCTGTCCGCCACGTGGTGACCCTGGACAGCCCGATAACCCAAAGGGATAGGGTCACGGGTTTTGATTTTGGGCTCTCGCTAGGCTCGATGAATTGGTCCGAGTCGTTCGACTAAAGCCCACCAAGGCAACCCATTTTGCTGCTTCATGCTTCCGTACCTATAAGTTGTACTGTAAGTTCGTTTGATAACCGTATTATAAAGCAATGAATTGTGTTAGGCAAAACACACTAATTTCATATAAATAAATAAAATATAAGATTAAATATATAATAAAAATACTACCCATGAATCTAATCTAGTTATTCATGTTTTATTTATTTTTTGGACAAAATAATAAATTTATAATTTAATACGTTTGAACTAGATTATAATTTTTACTACTTATAAATGTACACATATTGGAAAAACTTTTATTTCACTATTTTACCCTCTAACATCTCTTAAATATCAAAAATTGCATGCACCACAAAAATGTTATTCATTATACAATACCTTGAGTGACCTGTCATTACTCTTTTTTCTCCACACCATCCATTACATTTTTAATAAATTCCACAATTTTAAACTTTATCGTATAGTTACCATAACTGTTTTGAGGTATGACTATAGGAATTCTGAATCTAAAGGTTTTAAATAGTGATCCTTTCAAACATCAAGAAGATGTAAATCATCGGCCTCATAACAAAAGAAAGGACATATTGGACATAGTCCTTCAATAAAAAGGAGTAACAAAGGCTTCTGAGTGGACGGAGAAGCAGATCATCCGCCAATATCCTTTTCCTTCATGTCTAAGTTTCTCACGAAGACAGTTCTCTCTCTCTCTCTCACACACCCCTCTGCCTCTCCGTAGTTGTTAATAAGAGAAAAAGTTTCTCAGATTTTATAATATCCTCATTATTGAATTGCATAATTTCTTAAATAGTGTATTGGAGGGCAATAATAATTCTATAATGAGTAAGAGGCGTTATATGCAACAAGTCATATACTTATGGTCACTTTCAAGTTTCAAGTAATCATGCCCATGGCTGATTTTATTATACTTTGTGTGATGATGTTATATGCATTTTTTTTTGTTTTTCCAAGCACTGGCACATGTTATGAAGATTAATAAAGTTTTTGAATGCCTTTGGTCCATACTTTTACCATTTGGCACCTGTTGTAGTAAATCAATTGCTTCAAGTTTTTGCTTATTTATGTTGTTATATATGAATCTTTCTGTTTTAGCTGTCATTTTTTCAATTTATTTGTACTAACGAAATATTTCTACTCTTCCCTTAATGATAAGAATTCAGAGACTTAGGCCTTGTCTCAAAAATAAGTCGTTCATTCCGACCTATAACACGTAACTCAGAAGCATCAACTGTGGCCAATGTTTGTGATACAATTTGGCTTATTGCTAAGGTTTTGTATTTTCCGTTGTTTACTAGCTTGAACTATGTCTCATTTATTTTTCAGTTGAGTTATATATTGTTGTCACTTGTTGAATTAATACCCATGTTCAAGTGCTGAGTTTCTTACTACCGCTTAGGAACCTATGGTTGATGGTTTGCTTCAATGAACCCTTTCTTGCAGTGGGTGTATAAATTCTAAGATGAAGTGTCAAACAGTAAGGGCAATTTTATCAAAATATTAAGTGTCCAATAGTGTCGATAACTTCCGAAGGAAACATTTTTCTATTTCCTTGAACTGATTCAACTTTTTTTAGATGTCTAAAGTTTAATAAGAATAAGTATGCATCATTCTTGATGATAAA